CTAGTTCAATTGTAGTAGGTGATTTTACATTGTACCTTTCAGCTTTTATAGAAGCAATTGTATTAAGTACTTAGAGTGTTCAAGTTAGAGTTAACTTGAAGTTGTCGCAACAGTTGAGGCTGTGTGCCACAACGGGATTAGAGTTAATCCTAGGTTTACAAAGAGTTTTTGTAAATGCAGTTTTTGGCTCAATGATTTTAGTGAAAGTTTGGGAAAATCCTACTGAGTAGTAGGTCGTGGTTTTTTCACCTTTTGAGCCAGGTGTTTTCCACGTAAAAAACTCTGTGTTCTTTATCTTCTTTACTTATTATTCCGCAAACAGTAGTAGTTGGAACACATAGAAGAACCAGGTCCTTCTATTATCAAGTTAAGCAAAAATTGGGTACCACACAAATCACCCCCACCCCCCTCTTGTATGGTATTGAAGTATAAAACTTCAGTTAGTAATGTTCTCAGGGATGTCTATGGAGATGGATAAGGTATCCCAGTTCCCGGAACTGTAGATAGTGTCCACTTTAGTAGCTATGTCATTAAAGGGCCCTCAATCATGTCCCTAATTATTGATTGGTTTGGGATCCGGGCATCATTGATGAAGCTCACCCTGTTTCCCTTGTGGACAACCCATCTTCTGGCCTTGTTGCATGTATCCCAGCCTTTGAGAATATATTGTCAGGTTGGAGATTTGAGCTTCTTGGGGGTATGGTTCCAGTTACAGTGCTTAGAGATCAGGACTCTAGCCCATAAACTGGAGGTGTTATTGTAGATCCTCTAGGCCAGCTCAGCATGGAAGGCTTTATTTTTATACTCACCTTTCTGCAAACCCAGTCTACCATGAGACTTCTGCCTAGTGACTTTGTCCCAGCTAACCAGGTGCATTTTTTTCTTGTTTGGAGTGGTTCCCCAGATAAAATTCCTCTAAATTCTATCAATTTGGTCTGTAGCCTTGGTGGGCAATTTGATGTATTGCTTAACATGGCTTGGGATGCTGCTGAGGGAGGCTTTGGCAAGGATGATTCTTCCATTCATATTTAGAAAAAAAAATCCATCCAGCTAGTTTGGATTGCTTATTGTCTAGTATGAATTGAAAGTCACTACTGGTGGGTCTTCTATGGAACATAGGGAATCCTAGGTACTTCCTAAAGGATGTAGTATCTTGGATTGAAAGGGTATTTGTGAGGCATTCCATTGTGCCAGGCTTTGTGTTAGAGGAGAAGAGAACCTTGGACCTTGTGAGATTGATTTTGCCCAGAAGCCTCATTGAAGGACTGCAGGATAGAGTAGATTGTGGTGCAGTTCCTAATGTTTGTTTTTGCAAACAAAGTAAGGTTATCAGCAAAGAAGATATGAGAAATTTTTGGGCCAGACCTACTGATACTGATAGGGAGCCGTTTTTATCCTGGATAGCTTTATCAATTGACCTAGAGAGCCCCTCCATGCACAGAATGAACAGGTAAGGGGAGATTGGGTCCCCTTGTCTGATACCCCTAGAAGGCTTGAAGGTATCAGTTTTGCCACCATTCACTAGGATGAAGATTTTTGTTGAGCTAATGCAGGATAAGATTAACTTAGTAAGTCTAGGAGGGAAGTTGAAGGCATGTAGTGTGTCCCTGATGAAGAACCACTACAGCTTGTCAAAGGATTTCTCTAAGTCAATTTTGAGAATTATATGAGCCCGGTTTCCTTTCAGCTTTCCAAAATGGGTGATGTATTTTTGGACAATGATGGCATTGTCTTAGGCCCTTCTATTGGATAGGAAATTGGCCTGGCCAGGCTAACTATAGCAGGGAGAAGGGGTTTGATCCTATTGACAATGATCTTAGTGATGGTCTTGTAGATAGTGTTACAAAGCCCCATTGGTCTGAAGTTTTTTAGCATAGTGGCTTGGGGACACGTGGGGATGAGACAGGAGAGTTTGGTTCATGGTCTCATCCATGGAGTGTATTTCAAAACATGACTTGCAGAAGTCAACTTTGAATTCCCCACAATGCTCTGGTATCTTTGGTAAAAGAATGGGTGAAGCCCATGTGGGTCAGCTGCCTTGGAAGGTTTAAAGGAGAAAATGGCCATTTTGATTTCTCTATCCTCTAGGAGCCTATCCAACTTGTCTCTTTGACAGTCTGAGAGGATATGGGTCATCTCCAGATGACTGGTAGTGGAAATGGGTGCTTGGGTGTGGGAGGAAGTGTAGAGGATCCTGAAGAAGTGCATTATAGAGGCCTTAATGTCCCCTTGGTCGTCAAGTCAGTTCCCACAATCCTCTTTGAGAGACAGGATCATGTTCCTTCTTCTCCTATTGAGAGTGAAGGTGTGGAAAAATCTAGTGTTGACTTCACCTTTAGTTAGCCAACTGACCCTTGACTTGAGTTTCCAGAAGTCTTCCTCATTCTTGAGGATGGTCAAGTTCACTGGTCAAGTTACTTTCCAGATTCAGCAGGTAATTGTTGAACTGGTAATTAGGTGATTTTTGGATCCCAACAATTTTGGCAAGGATCCTTTTCTTTTTGTGGAAGATGTTCCCAAAGGTATGTCTATTCCACTAGGTCACAAGGTTTTTAAAAGTGTTAGTTGATTGTATTAAGGGGGAGTTATTGGTGAAGGCCTCATTGAAGATACTAGGGAAGGAGGGGTGGCTAGTCCACATTGATTCAAACCTGAAGGACCTGTTAGAATTATTGAAAGAATCCCCCCCCCCCCCCCTTTAGCCTTATTTGAATAGGGCAATGATCTGAGTGGGTCCTAGAGAGATGGTTAACACTAGCCTTAGGGTACTAAAAAATCTAGCAGTCGTGAGCAAAGCACCTATCTATTATAATAACATTTATACCATTTAAAATATGTACCAATTAAACACTTTTTGCTAGCATGGCAAAAGAAGTGTTATTTACTTCTGTTGGGCGCGTAGATGAATACCAAAGTAATAGGAGTAACTTTTTTTTTCTTAAGAAACTTACAATTTTTACCCATCGACACATGGCTTCAATTCTTTTTTTTTTTTTAAAAAACAATGAACAAAAAATAAAAGGTGATCCCAACCCCAACCCAAGGGTCTTCTTCTCCTCTCCATTCTCTCCTCTCTTCTCTTCTCTTCTCTTCTCTCGTTCTTCATTCATCATATTCTGCACAATTTTGTTCTTTTTTTTAATTTATTATTTTGGTTAATTACAAGTAATCCTAGTTCATTGGAGTACTCTTTTAACCCATATTTCATAAATCAATCGAGCACACTTGTTGAAAAGAATATCTCACCGAAGAAATTGAGATTGCCAAGTTCTTTTTTAAGGATCCCGGTCTAATTTCTTCTTCTTTCTCTCATTTTAGAGACTCTTTTCTTCAAAATTTTAAGGAACCAGCTCGAGAAAAAGCCCATGACTCTTGGGGTAAGGCGAAGATTTGGGAAGAAGAATTGCAACCACCAGAGCACCATCTCGGACCACCAAACAATTATTTTTAGATCTTTTTCGTTCAACTTTAAATCGCCAAGGTATATAAACGAGACCATACCATAGTCACTACAATAATCTGCTTCACAGCTACTAGGATCTCCATGGAAAGGAAAATAAAAACATATGAAGAGAAGAAAAAAATGAAAGAGAAGAAGAATAAAGAGGAAAGAAAACAAAAAACGAGAAAAGGCAAACATGGGAAGAAGTTCACGGACGTTGGCGGCTTAGGAGGCCGGGGCGGGGGAGGTTCTTAAAAAAAAAATACTCCATTGTAAAAGAAGAGTATTCCTATTTGAAGCAGTGTTAAAAATAGCGTGAAGCGAGGAAAAGCGACAACCCCCATTTCACGAGAAGCGAGAAGCGAAGCGCCCGCTTTTTTTTAAGTGAAGCGGAATTTTAAAAAAAAAATTAAAATAAATAATTGGCCAGAAACTCTGGCAGAAACTCGGCAGAAACTCGGCAGAATTTTTCTGAAAAAAATTCGCCAGCATCTCGGCGCTTTTTGGACGTTTAGAAAGAAAAAAAAAAGAAGAAGAAGAACAAGTAGAAGAATGAAAATAAATCTGGAAAACATACCTGTTGAAACTAAGTTGTTGTTGTACTGTTGAAGTCTTGAAGAAGAAGAAGAAGAACCCTAGTTTGCTTGAACAAATCGCTGGTTGAAGTGAGGAAGAAATCGCTGGTTTGAAGAACCCTAGTTTGCTGCTAAAGAAATCGAATAAGTGCTAAAACAGAAACATCGATTTGGGTCTTTTAATTGAAAAATCGTTCGCTTCGATCGCTTCTGGGCGCTTCACCGCTTCTCGCTTTTTAGATAGAAGCGGTCGCTTATGCATACCTGAGCCGCTTTTAACACTGGTAGCGACACCCCTCCCGCTCCGCTTCGCTTCTCGCTTAAAGCGAGGAAGCGCCCGCTTTTTTTAACACTGATTTGAAATAAATTTTTTGCTTGTTGATTGAATAATATGCCATGTAAGTGCGCTTTGCAAGACAAGCTGATTCTTTGGGAAAAAAAGAAGTGTTTAATTGGTACAAAATTTAATAAATGATATAAGTACTAAAATTGGAACTAGAGAAGAATCCATGAGTTTATTCTTAGCACAAAGATCATGGCCAAAACAAAACACATAGGAAGTTATCACTTCAATGGGCCATCTGGCCAAGTTAATCAGGGAAGATGCAAATCCGACTATTTATAAAACCAGCTCGAGTTCCTTCCTGCAATAAAGGTACACTGGTGATCAAAATGTTTCTGCTTGCTGGAGTAAGACATAGCTCGCAGGCAAGAGGGGTGTGCGCGGCAGCTCAAGTAGCAAGAAGTATGACAACGATTTCAAGCTCGTAGAGGAACCTTCATTTCACAATGCAAAAGGGCCAGATCACAACATCCCTGTGAATGAGCCCAAAGTAAACTCTGCACAAGTTATGCACTTAAAAGAGCTCAACAATCTAAACTGGAAGGCTCACAAAATGTGAAGCTCCAAAACTACGTGAATCGCCTCAGTAAATGTGTTTAATAACTCTTCACCTGATATAACCCTGAACAATTTTAATTGCTAAGTGAAACTATTCTACATTCCTCAAATCAATATCTTCATAAGATTTCAGAAATCGTTATATTAAATTAACAAAAAAAATGAAATGAAGTGACAGGTGTGTACAAAACCGCACACAAGAAACATATCGTCCTTCAATCTCAATAAAGTAAGTTCTTACCAACTCCTCCATAAGAACTACAACACCATTTCAATTGTTCATCAAAAAATTTCTAACAGATCAGTATAAAATACAATCATCTAGCTAGATCTGCAAAACTCTATTCCACGCTAGCCCTTGCCACTAGACAATATTTGTGGCCACGACTTCTCATTGATCACGGAGATGGACAACCTGCATATGTAAGATCAAGCTTTATTGATGTGTTCAAGATTTTAACACGTAAGAATGCGGGGAAAAAAGAAATAAACACGACACCTCTTCTTTCTTTTTCAGACAACACATACTACCAAATGTGGAAAAAACAGAAGTCAACACATTGAAGTACAAGAGTTTAAGCAGACTTGTGTACTGATTGAAAGATCATGTAAGCCACAGCTCCGCTAGAATCCTAATAAACAAACCCCACCCACCTCCCCGGACAAAAAACAGAACAAAATGAAACTGCAACAAAATAAGTTCCACAGAATTATGTCGGGTTATCACAAAAGATCCGGGCCCAAGACCCTTAGCGAACAGTCCAATTATTACAAGCATCTCATGTGCAAGAAAAGAACAACATAAAATGAGAACTCTTCATATTTCAAACTCTTAGTTCTCGTCACCAGTCACCCTTCTTGCAAGGCCTTCCAATAGTAAAAAAGTTTCATCAGAGCCATTTGACACTCCTGACCAAATTAATGCATGAACAGTCTGCAGTGAGCCCTGTGTGTGGGCTTTTTTTGGGGGGGGAGGGGGGTTGAGGTGGTCCTCCCAAGGGTATTAGCAGAGTCGATCAAATTAGGACTAGGACACAACATCGCTTAGAGTTTAAGCGCACTACATAGCCATTGGCTATAAGTTCAAAGGATTTAAAATATCAATCTGACAACAATGTTCTTAAGAGCTCAAGGAAAAAAAAATAACTAAAGCATCTGCAAGCTGAACATCAATTGGTATGAGGGATGGCTAGTCACTTACAGGATTTGGCATGAAGAGATCAAAATCTACAATCCAGGCTAATTCCATCTGATGACATGAATAATTATTGAACACCATTTAATTTCTTTTCTGAAATGAATTATTGAACTCCATTTAATTTTTTTCCCGATATGTTATAGAATTATAAAAAGCGATAAAAAGGTGGTGGATGTAGTTCAATCTTGCAGGGGATAGAGAGAGAATTATTTGGAATTCGTGATGATTGAATCGTCCATTAATAGAGAGCCAGCCATCCAAAATAACAGACACACACTTATGTTACATGGTTCAATATGAACATGAATATTGGTATGTGATGTTGAGGTCAACTTGACTATTGTGTTAAAATATGGGATTCAAATGTTAGTTTCTCAGGGTTATTTTAACATTATGTCTAATTCAAACACAAAATCTAACACAAGCAGTGAGCATTGCCCAAAACTATTAAAGATTCTAGCACTCCTTAACACACTTAGGGGTGAACATATGGAACCTGAAGTAACATGACATGGATGACCTATACTGCTAACCCAACCAGGAAGTGTTTGGCTCTGATACCATGTTTAAGAAATAAACATTCGACCCAACTCAACTCCAAAAGCTAGTTCAAGTGGTGTAAGAACTGTTCAAGTCCATATAAGGAGATTATCGCACATACACTTAATTCCTATGGGATTCTAACAGTTATCACTTGAAGTTTATCGACCGCTAGGTTGCATCCTTTGGTGTGAGAAAGATGCCATATGGACTACCCACAGGTTTTTGGCGCATTCTGCAATATTCATACTAAGAACCCATCATAACCCTCTATGTTTTTTTTTGATAAGGCCCATCATAACCCTCTATGTTACAAGTACATCAAGGCAAACTGCATAGCAAGATGATCTCCAGCCCTTTGTCTCTCAGATAAATAACTAGATTAAAATGTTGGCTAAGTACACATTCCATCCTAATGATGTTCATTACATAAGATCATTCACCGTGGTGAGAAATACTTCTTGGAGAAAGAATACAAATTATCTGCCATCTAAGGATTTGGTAATTTTGGAGAACAACCCTAACCTAAGCCAACTTGTGTTCTCTATACCATGAAACAAATGCAAGGTATGTAGCAAAATACTTTTTTTGGGACCAAGATGAATAATCCATCTACTTCTGTCGTCTGAAGAGTCTTTGCAAGAGTTAGCAAAAGAACCAATCTTCACTTGTAGAAGTCCAAGAAACATGAGCTTCCTTTTAAATTTCTCAGTTCCTACCCGATAAACAAGTTCTTTAGCAAAGGAAGTGAACGTTTGAGGACATAGAAGATGTCATTTATTTTCTATGTCCCTGTACCCTTCAAAAATGGATACAAGTCCTCAAGGCTGAACAGACTTGACCAATTCCAACATTTTACAAAAGTAAAAGTACATAAGTGAATTGCACAGCATCTTTAAAAGCTACAAACACAAATCCCAGATATCTAACTTGTAAATCAGCAATTTGATTCATGATTGCAACTAGTGGTGGCAAAATGGAAGAAAACAGTTATTCATCCATATTTTGATAAGGTTTTTTTTTTTTGATAAGGAGTTATTCGTCCATATTATCTACTAAAAATTGGTTGGACAATGAATTTTTTAAAAATGGGTCAAATCCACTTAAAAATGGATAACCAATGGATTTAACTTTTACATTTGCAAAGCTCAAATTGGGGTTCCTCTAGTTTGGGAGATTAGGAATTCTTCCAAAAATAATCGTATTCAAGAAGCCATGGATTATATGGATATCCATATTATCCGCCGGTTAATCCATTATCAATTAGGGCTGCGTTTGCCACCCCTAATTGCAACCAATGCCAGACTAAAGACCTTAGTCCATGAGTGAAAGAAAACCAACCCTATAATTACGTAAATGAATCGAGACAATTCTACTTTCCAAATAATAATTGAAATAGTTTACTGCCTTAATGCACGAAGCTTGATATTCAATTAATTTACTACACAACTCACCATAAGTACTGTGTTACCCATCTCTTTTTTCTGAAAACGCAAATTGTTACTCACCTCTTCTACCCATCTCCTCCTCATCCTCCGAAAACTCTACATCCTCGTCATCATCCCCCCTCTTCCCTTTCTTATCATCCTTCCACATCTTCTTCCTAAAAAAATCCTTTAAAAACACTGTCTCTTCATCCAACTTCTCATCCTTGGCGAAAAACTCATCCAACTTCTTAGCAAACTCATTATATCCCTCCTCCTCGTCATCACCTAACCTGTCCTCTCTTTTCTCATTCTCTTTCACCTTAAACAAGTCCTCTTCCTCCTTAACAGCATTCAGAAACTCCTCTCTCAAATCCTCTTGCTCCTCTGAATACGTCTTCGCTTTCTTCTCCTCTTCTTCGTCGCCAAACTCGGGACCCTCCTCTATCAAATGCTTAGACACTACATCCTTTAAATACATTGGCTTTTTATTTTTATTTTTATGTTTCTTCTCCTCAGACTCAGAATTTGTTTCAGATTCAGATTCAGAATCGAATAACTTAGCATCTTTTGTTATTCAAAACAACAGGGTCGCCTTTTTTAATCTTAAGCAAAGCATCAAAGAACTTTAAATTACTTGTAGGGTTTAAATCCTCTTCTTCTTCTTCCTCCTCTGTGTCTTCGGAAGAGGATTCGTCATCAATGACGCCTTTCTTCTTCAGTTCTTCGAGCTTTTGCAAGTCCTCTCATTTCTTGTTGTGTTGTAGCGGCGGGCGAATTCCTCGTTTATCTCAATTTTGTCCAGATTCTCTACATCATCATCGTCACCGTCGAATAGCTTCATTCCCATTTGTTTTCCTTTAGGGTTTCCGAAAGCTGATTTCAAATGAGGGAGTGCTATGTTTTAGGGTTTTGGAAGTGAGCAGCTAAAGGCTGAAGCTTTGTTTGAGGACAAATTGGCCAGAAAACTTGAGGATGTTTACGGATGTAAGAGCAATAATTTATTTGTTTATTAATAAAAGTAATTTTAAAGACTCATTTATAAAGGAAAAAAAGAATTTTGAGAAGGACGTTTATAAAGGGAAAAAATTCAATTAAACCTTTGGGTGAAAACCATTTTGATCCCCCAACTTCGTCTTAAAAATTAAATTCTCCTCTAATATTAAACAATAAATATTCTACTCCTACAAACTCAATTATATTTTAAAGCACCTATTTTACCCTCAATCTTATCAGCCTTGATCTCTATTATTTTTGTTCTTTTTAAAAATTTTAAAAAGTAAAAAAACCAATAATCAATCATGCATAATTTATTGAAATTGAATAAAAGAAATGGGCGCAATTAAATATTAGAATAAAAGATCGTATTAACATCAATCAAATAAAAGTTAATGCCGTAATATAAAATAAAAAAAATATATAAAAATAGAGGGAGATTTCCTAATAAATTCCTAAAAGATTACATATTTATACCTCAGATGTTCTTTACATTACTATTTAGAAAATATTTCCAAATTAATTAAGAATTATATATACACACATAATAAAGATTTTTAATTATTGTATATTTTCTTTTTTTATTTTCTAAACTTATGATTGCTAGTAGGTCAATAGTGAGTGTAAACAAAAAAGTCCATATTACCAATCCATTCATACATAGGAAGGTGTGAGCACAAAGATAATGTACTAAACTTGTGCCTATAGGGGCTCATGTATAGCTCATCATAGGTCAATGAACTTATAATGACCAGGGGTCAACAAAACGTAAAGTAGAGCAACGTTGGACAAATAATCAAACAGAGCCATCAAGGCAACTCACAACATCCATCACATTATCTGTCAGTCATCGCGGATCAAAAAGGATCATCACATTATCTATGTGCAACATCTGTTTGATGCATGATGAGTTCATAGAATTTTCATTGCCCTTTGCTAAAGAATAGGATGAATCCAGATTGCCTCCATTGCTTTGGCCCCCTGCTTAAAACATAACAAAGTATAATTTCAAACGCAGTACAAGAATCCCTCTGCAAATATAAGTACTTTCACTCCTCGCGATGCCAAATTCCTTGTTACTTTCTTTTAGTTATATTTCTACTCTATAATATCAAGGTTAAACTTTACTATTGCACGAGCAGTTTCTTGAGGAGCGCCATTGGAAAATTTAAGGTACCGTATTGGTTAGGTCCTTTTTTTAAGAAAAATGTTGCTCAACAGATGAACTATTCCGCTAAGCAATTAATTCCACAATTCCATTTTCTAAAGAACATTTTCTCAGAGGTCAGTGGCGGATCCAGGATTTTTAAGTCGTGGGTGCTCACTGATAAAAATTTTGAAAGAAGAGGAAAAACGAATTTAGTTATGGCTGCTCAATCAATATTTATCTAAATATTTTTATAATTACCTATACAAATTTACTAAATCTTGTCAAAGATAATTGGTGCTTAAGCACCCAAAATCAGCATGTAGATCCGCCCATGTCAGAGGTTCTTCGGAGTCAGAGTCTTTAAGTTTTTTTTATTAAGTGATAGTAGGAATTCGCCTCTCTACCTTCACTGTGTAGGGGTAAGGTTTGCATACACACTACCTTCCCCAGACCCCTACATGTGGGAATACACTGGGTTTGTTGTTGTTGTCGTCGTTGTTGTTTATAGAAGAAATTCCTAATTAAGACATGACCCAAAAATTTGTCATGTGCTTTCGTTCTGATTCAATGATAGAATTCATGAATGAATGATTATGTACAAAATGTCATATAAAATGTGAGGTAAATTCAAAGAATGAAATAGAATAAAACAAGTAGAAACTTGTCCAAATCATGGATTAAAAAAAGGTTTAAAAATAAATAAATAAACAGTAGACAATGAATTTTGCTTTTGCTTCTCCTATTAAAGTAAACCAAAATGATTCATGACAAGAGCGCGAAACTAGAGGAACGGATGATTGAAATATGTTTTATATGCCTTTGGATTGTTAAACCACTTAGAATTGAATAATATAGCATTGTGCCTACTCCCCATATTGTGGATCATCACTTCTTCTAAATCTTTAATGCGCCATACTGCTACGTTCAGGATCTTTTGCATATTTACCCATATCATGCATCAAAGCATGCATTCTACTGGGTTACAAAACCAACCAAGATCCCCTGCTAAGTAATCCAATTGGTATGTGTGATCTATGTCATCAGGCACAAACAGGAACCTTCTTAAAAGTAATAGCCTGTTTGGCCAAGCTTTTTTTTTTGGCCAAAAGTGTTTTTTTTTTTGCCAAAATCACTGTTGGCAAAAAATTGAGGTGTTTGGCCAAGCTTTTGGAAGGAAAAAAAGTGCTTTTGAGGAAAAACAGAAGCAGTTTTGGAGAAGAAAAAAAAACTAGCTTCTCTCCAAAAGCACTTTTGAGAAAAATACACTTAGAAACAGTTTTCAAAAGCTTGGTCAAACACTAATTACTGCTCAAAAGTGTTTTTCTAATTAATTAGTCAAACACAAACTACTTCTCGCCAAAAGTATTTTTTTTAAAAGTACTTTTGAGAAAAACACTTCTCAAAATAAGCTAATTTTAAAAGTTTGGCCAAACGGGCTATAAGTCTACTCACTATCATGCACTTCCTTACTGACATTCATCTTTCTTCCTTAACAGTTTACCAAGAAGGGTATTTTGCAATGAGTGCACACACTATGCTTGTATTCTCTAACATCTCCACGGAAACAAGAAGCTTCAAAATGGCTCGTGCAACTGCCGTATTCCCTATTCCTCCCGTGCCCCAGATACCAATAATTATTTAGAATGTCATCAGTTTTCATCCATAGCAGGGATTTCACTTGCTCTAGATGAGCATCTATACCCACAACATCTTGGGAGGACGACAAAAGAAGTTTGCTCAATGAAGAAATTTCGCCGACAATCCACTAATGCTCTCTGATTCGACCCTATAACAATAAGAAGATTGTTGATACAAACAAGAATGAAAAGAATTAGAAGTATTTGTATTAATGGCACACATAAATAAAGGAAAACGTTACTCAGGATTTCGACGGAAAGAAATCATGCCTTCCAATACACATTAACTCGTCTATTTGACAACTACTACTACACCTCAGTTCCAAACATGTTGGGGTCGGCTATATGAATACTGTTACACCATATAAACTCTCAAGCCAATATTATACAAAACAACAATAACAACGACCCAGTAAAATCCCACAAGTGGGGTCTGAGGAGGGTAGTGTGTAGGCAGACCTTACCCCTACCCAGAGGGAGTAGAGAGGTTGTTTCCGATACACCCTCGACTCAAGAACACGAAAAGAGACAATATATTAGTACCATCAATAGAAACCATAGAATGGCAGAAAAATCAAAGGCACTGAACAAAATTAAGCTGGAAGCAAATATATAGACAGATATGGAATTACATGACAACATATTTAACATACAAACTACTGAAATATTACAAGCAAAGAAAGGAATTATGAAGCCCTAAATCACTAAGAAGATGAAACATTTTGAAGACTACCATAAACAAAGCCTAAGCTCAACTGAAATTACTACAAACATTCATCATCATAATTTCAAAAAACTATTCGGGCTTAAGAGTGTCCGACTTTACCTGTGAGCTATGGGTGGGGGCTGGCAGTGCATCAAAGACAGCATTGCATACATCCCTGAATATAAAGAGGACTTGTTTCTCCTCCTCAAAGAAGCCAGCTCCTCGGTTCTCAAGGACACTGACCAAGGATAACTCACAATATTCCATCCTTTGTACGACCCATGTCCAAGAAGGTATGCGCATTTAGTGTGACAATATTAGGATGACCCCTGAGCGATTTCATCACTGAAATTTCTTTCAGTACTAGATCAACTGATTCTTCATCATTAACAATAATATGCTTTAATGCATACTGCTTTGAACCATGTAGTACATCTCGGGCTAAATAAACACAAGAGAATCCGCCTTCTGTAATTGCATTGCGCACATGAACTTTGAGACTTCCAATATCAATGGTGCGACCTTCAAGCCCAGCCTGTTCCTTGGGCATAAAAGGTTTGAATCTCCACATCATAAACAATTCTTTCAAAAACAAAAAACCACTAATAGGGTGTTTGGCTAAGCTGATAAGCTGGTCAAACTGGCTTATAAGCACTTTTTGGCTTATCTACGTGTTTGGTAAAATTAAAAGTGCTTATAAGCCAAAAATAAGCCAAAAGCCATAAGTTGGTCTCCCCCAACTTATCAAATTTCAGCTTATAAGCACTTTACGTTTGACCAAAATATTTACTATTCTATCCCTAAAATAATTCTTTTTAAAACAAAACTCTTCGTATACCCAATTCTTTAGCTGTTTATTACTAATTTCAGCATTTTTATCCAAACACGTAACTGCTTATTTGTTAAATCAGCTTCAGCACTTAAAAATGCTTTTCAGCACTTAATGCTTATCAGCTACTCTAAATCAGCTAAGCCAAACGGGCTCTAAGAATCATGACAAAGATGAGAGATTTAGCTAATTAAACGGTCAAATTAAAATCCCTTCGCAGTAAAGTGAACCAGCTGTACAACCAGTATGAAAAACAAAAACGCACATGTGCTTTTGGTGGTGTTTGGAGTTCTCCAAAAACTGAGTTTGCAAACCCAGGTTTTGAGTTTTGGAAAAAGTGTTCCTTTGACTTGTTTCCAGAACAAATATAGCTTTATGTGAAGATTTCCAAACTGAGTTTTCCAAATCTCTCAGTTTTTGCAAACGCACCCAAACAAACACTTTTCTCAAGGGTCAAAGCTTAGTTTGCAAACTCAAGTTTTGGAAAACCTCAAAGAAACGCCACCTTACAAATTTTTGATTATCCTAAAATGGATACCGATAACACTGCAGATATTTACATTAGAGAGGCACAAACAACGAGATTACCACAAAAACTTCACTCCTACAAATGCAACAAAAAATTGTTGAACATTTTCCAGAGATGGATATTTTATTCTTTTGGCGTGAGGAGGGGGAGGAATGTGGTCAAAATGTAAACTTCCATAAAATCAGGAATAACAAACTAGAATAATTACAAAGTTAGACCTTGTTTAATAAGCTAATCAGATAAATGAAATAGGCATGCACGGGAGCTGCAGGTCTTTGAATCAGATAAGTATTTTTTTGGAAATATTTCTGAAGACACATAGGAAAACTCAAGAGCCTTGACCGATCAGAAAAGAGTCCTACTTCACTAATATATACTATTGTCTATAAGACCCTGCTACACTGTATTATTGCTGACAAATGTCGTATGGTTTATCCAATACCAAAAATAAACTCTAATGTAAAGAGATATTTATGGTAAAAGAACATTATCATGGAAAAATAATCAAGGAATCTATCCACTAATCAACCATTAGATTCTGAGCTCCATCATATGCCTGAAAGATTTTGATTAGGACCACTATGACATACAGACAGAAAACAAGCACTTTTTAGTGATCAATTTTTGCACTGGACTGCCACAATGAATGGTGGAACTCCAACATTAAAGACAGTACAGATATTCATGAATACAAGACGCCCACTCTATCCCGTACAACCTATGTGTTACTATTATTATCACCCTGATTGGTTTGCCTTTGTCCTTGTTTTTCTGGAGTTCAGGTGTAGTCTACTGAATACCAAGCATGATCAAATGGTAGTTTTCTTCTTTCTTCTTTTCTGAATAGGTAGATAAAATTGGTCATTAAATGGCAATAACTATCAGAAGAGATGTCTAAACCTGATTATTTTGCAAGTAATGAAGAGAAACATATCAAAATTAATGAGTACACAAACATGTCATTTCTAGCATAAATTTGCCTCTATAGCACCCAATTAGCCTCCAAACACACACAAACATGCCATTTCCGTGCAGATTAAAGTCAATCACATAAAAACATAGATAAACTTCAAGGTTACAGTACTACACTTGTATCGAAGTTTTTCAAATTAGTGAACTTCTTTGTTATTTTACTTTCTCCAGGATTAATTTCATAAGAATACAATCTTTGCTTGTCTAGAATTTTATCCTTTTTCACAGGTCCAACAAATTCAAGCTGCTGCAAACTGCTTAGTTGCACAAACTATGAAACTACAGATCAAGGTGAAATAAATGCTGTTTCAGTGTACTCACTGATGCAGTAAGTTTTCAATCCTGACCATCTACTAAAACTTTAGCGCCTTAAGAAAACATTCGTAGCACTAACCCATGCATGCTTTCAAAACTGCGGGACATTTCTCATTGACAACATGAAATGCCAAAAATGTAGATATAACTTGTATGCTTCACCTTAAGAAATATTGAAGTTAAATAAATTGGATATAGAAGTTCCAAGATATTAATGTCTTATCAGGCAATGGATCCAAACTTCCCTTAAAAGATTATTTATCTTTAAACAAAATAGTAAGCTAGCAGATCCATTTCCACCCAAGAACAGCTCCACGATATCAAATTTTGGTGAAGCAAATAAATCAGGCCATTCATATAAACAATCAAACGCAGATTTCATAGTATTCTACACGAACCAATTGAGATTGAATAAACATAATTTGCAGTAGTAAAGCATTGATAGTCCAAGAATCAATCAACTTATCTGAAAAAAACTGAACACTACCCAATTGCAGTAAATCCAAGAACTTACCAAAATTGGTGTAAAAAATCTACCTTGATTAAGTATGTTATCAAGAAAAAAAAGCCACCCCAGATCAAGAAAACAGAGAAAATTTCCTGAAGTGACTGCATTTAAGCAGCAGCTTTTGATGTAAAATTGGTGAGATCTGAGAACAAGGATTTGGGTTCTTGGGATTGCTATTGAGATCTAAGAAACGTGTACAGTAATATTCGGGAGGGGTTTCGATAGATCGCCATATACAAAACAAAAACAATAATAATAATAAGTATTAAAGATTCTTTATATTTTCTATTGATGTATAAATCTCTAAAATGCTAAACAACTACAAGAAAAGCGATGTAAAACAAAAGTGCTCACTTGACTTCAACATATTCTCAACTAATAGGTAAAACCTATCTAGATCTTTTTCTTCCATTATGGATCCCAAGAGATTTGCTAACTCCTATTAAAGCATAGGACGTCTCTGTCTAACATCAAAATAACAATTAACTATTAAATTTTTCCCTCATGTTAGATCCAAAAAATCAGTTGAGTTAGTGCTGATTTTGTTTAATTAACTCATTTCGAAGTTTTCTAAGCAAACCAATGGAAACATTATACCAATTAATGTGTATTTTAAACTCACAGACTGTGAATATCACAGCCTTTTAGATTGGCCACTTGAGTTAGAGCAGTCCTCCATCAAAAGGCTTCAGCAAAGCTAGAATCAAAAGTTCATACAAGGTACGTGTAAATGTTTTGCCAGTTATCATATTAGAAGGTCGCAAACATTTACAAGTCACCTGTACGAACTTTTGACAACTAGGAGATATTTAAGAGACTGAGAAACGGCGATTGAGCTATACGATCGAGTTGGTACTTTATGGATAAGGGAAGCACAGATCTGGAGAGGAAGAAATTGTGTTTGAGTTCTGACGGACTATTTATAGTAATTCTATACAAGTAACCAGTAAATGTTTTTCGAGTATCTTCGTCTCTAAAACTTCAGTAGGATGAAGAAGAACGAAGATACTCAGAAGATACTCGAAGAACATTTACAGGTCATCTGCATAGCGAAATTTGATAAGAGAGTAGAAAATGGCGATTGAGCGATACCGTTGATTTGGCTAGGGTTTGAATATATATATATATATATAGACGTGAGCGAGAATGACTATAATACCCTGTAATTCACTGGCCTAAAATCCACCTTAGTATGTACGCAATAGACAGCTAAACGTTCAAGCCAATGAGGCTACTCAGATTTTCTATGGTAAATAGTTACCCACGCCGGTGTTTACACCAAACTCTATTAAATCACCATGGTTAATTAATTTAATTAGATGAGAATACATGTAATTTACCATGGTTAAATGATTGAAATCCATATACAAGACATATATCATATATTTATTGGTTTGATGTAAACACTCGGTGCAACTAAGTATTTACCTTTTCGTATTGATTTAATCGCGTTTCTAGTCTAGTTTTTATTTTTAATAAAATGGCGGTCGTCTTGTCGAGAAAGTTTCATTCATTGAAAATTGTCAGCCATTAAGAGACTAAATATCTAAAAGTAAATTTATAAAATAAGAAATCAGCTGAAACTTTACTCTACACAAAGTTGAAGATTGTAAATATGTAGGAAAACATTTGAAAAATGTAATATTTAATTAATTTCTTTATGACTAACAACAGTTGACAACGACTTGACTTTATTATAATTGAAAATAACTACCAAAAAATCACTTAAGTCTTATCCTTTTTGCTCTTTTTTTAATTTAATGTAGACTTCAAAGTTATTCTCCATCCGCCCACATTGTGTGTCATTTTTATTATCTCACCATTTTTTCCTTAACTCAAATAGGAAAGTCATTATCCCTCTCCCCCCATTGTGGTAATCTTGTATCATTTTTATTATCTCACTTTTAACCAGGATTGATTTTAAAGTGGAGTTGAGTTTACATACGGCAATAAAATACCAAGACATGTTACTTCTCTCAATGTGGAAATTTATAAAATGAACAAAAATTGCTTTCAATATAACTTCCAAAGCGGCATTCCAGTGAAAAGCAGTACTAATAGCAGTAGTGGGGAAAAAAGAATTAGTCTTTTCGGGGGGCACTTGAAGATTGTACGGTTGAATTGAGACAGGAAACCATCATAAGTCGGCCAACAAGCAAAACGAGTTCTCGTTCACGGATAACTAAGCTTTGCTTCTCATACCTGTAGAGTTTAACCACCATGTTCGGGATGGATTGGTGTGGTCCTAAGCATAGATGGAGAGAAAGGACGAAGGCGTTCCTTCGCTCATATGAGAGCTATGCTGGTTATATATGGGAGAAATTCAATGATTATGCTGGTCGAAAGGTTTCTAATGAATCTGCTAATTGAGCTTCTAGATTCAATCAAAAGGCAGAAATGAATAAGCTTGAATCAGAAGCATCGTTCTTTCCAAGACCATCTGCCATTGACTCAGTTGCTATTGCCGGGCAAGATTCTATCTTTTCCTTAGATGCAAAATACTGGAAACTTTATAGCCAGAGATCAAGTTGCCTTTGTACACAATCAAGTTATGCGATATCCTTAATTTCATCCTTCTTTTACCACCACAACGAAATCAATTGTTCTATTACTCCAATTTTTCTATCACGCAATTTGGGATCACATCAGTCATTGGTCGATAGGCCTACAGGGACCTGCCTAAGAACAAAGCAGAAGGACTAGTGAACCTTCCTCAGAGAGATGAAATAAAGTTCCATACCCCCTAATATCTTTACCCTATTGAGGTGTCAATCGTCTGTCCAGAAAGACATTCTCAATTCTCTCAAAAGTTCTTAGGACATTGAGAAGAGGAGAGCAATTTTGAATGGGAAAAAGAAGAGAACGGCACTTAAAAGGTTAAAATGCAACTTGAATCCATTTACCTTCTGTTTTTATTGCAATTTTAGTACTCAGAAACAGAACCTGGATAGTGTAGTTTTCTTCCAAAAGATTCAACACCATTAAGCAGTATTAACCCCTCATTACCTGCTTAAGAAAATCAGTCAGGCAATTTACATTACTTCCAACTCTAAGAAAACCGATCAATCACTGTTGAAGGAAAATACATGCTCCAACAACAGAGCCACCAGTCAAAGCACTTCAACAGAAACTATGCACGCTGTAATACTCCCAAAAGGCATCTCCCTGCCCGTAGCTGCCACCTACTACATCCATCAAACTGCTCTAAGAAGTGAGCTTATTGCAATTGAAAATATTAATATCACAAAAGAAACTTAGCCAAACAGTTAAAGACAAAAATATAGATAGGATTATATCAACACGAGCTTTGTGATTACGACTGAAGAGAAAATTCTATAATGAACTTTGCAATTTTCCTTCTTCCCCATAAAATTGACCAAAACAACGTAAAACCTTCTCTTTCCTTTTCAATTGATACTGGAAAGGAAAAGCACAAAAAAATTTCCAAAAAGAAGCAATTTGCCCAGCATCATCCACTGCAGACTAACATTTTCCTAAACTCTACTTATAAAACGCTACCTCTGATACCTTAGCTTACTTTTGAGCCAGTAGGACACCAGCAGACTAACTTATTTCTCTTCTCTGAACTTCAAAATTCCAAAAGCCACCCTCCACTTGTCAACATGCATCAGAGATGCTCCAAAACAAAATAGATCACAAAAAGAAGAGATGTATCTCTTGACAAACCCAATTGTGTGCATCCATATGTGCGAGATCACTATATTCAAGCATCAGATTCAGAAGAAGTCGACTCGGAAGAACCAGGTCCACGATTGGTAGCAACATGCATCTCAGGCAGCATCAAACACTTTGGCTGGGCACCTTTGTACACCTTCAAGGAAGGCTTCAGTTTCATATACTGCAGAAGTAGGGAGTTCAGTCAAACACGGTCTGAAGGGAAAACAAGCTTTATTTTTCAGTGTAGTTTCTGGCTTAAATTTTAAGTGGTACAACTCTGCTCCAAATTTACATAAAAGAAAGCGCGTCTCAGAGGCAGACCACAAGACCAATACCAGAACCAGATAGCATCTATTAAAGAATTGTAGAACAAAACTTACTTGCTGTGGGTCATGTTCAGGTACATATGCCATGAACATTCTCCACGACACCTCACTAGTATCAAACTCGCAGGCAAAACTTAATCATGGCTTAACTTTTAACATAACTAATATAACACTGGAAGTATCTCTTATCATAACATAGAAAACAGCAAGTAGAGTTGGTTACCTCCTGATAAAATGCATTAATTTCTTCCTCTGTCAGGCCTTCGTCTTCCCCAGCATTTTCATCCCAACCAAGAGAACGTAGGAAAGCAGCCTCTTCCTCATCTGGATATAGAGCTCCATTTATGGACGAGTTATTCTCCTCAATACCATTATGTCTTTGAACATGGTTTTGAGATTCATGAGCATCTCCATTGCTGGTTCTCTCACTTCCATTTTCAGAAACACAAGGGCTCAATGAGGCACTATCCTCATCTTTAGTTTTAATACCAGATTGCTCACTACTGTCAGATGAAGCCATACCAGAGTCTGGAAGGACAGTAGAAGAATTTAATGAAGTCTTCTTCCTCATTAGATTGAAAAAATCACTCCTGCTTTGGGCTTGAGACAGAGAAGATCTCTTCTCTGCAGTAGATCGTGCTTTCAGCGACAATGTAGCAGCTTTAGATTCAAGGGAAGTCACCCTCGAAGTTGGACTAGTCAAAGCAGGAGCTGAAGGAGCCACTGCAGGAGAGCAATTAGTTAATCTACTGCCAGTGTTGTTAGCTGGACTCGGTGCTTCTTTTGATAAAGAGGTGACACCATTTTCCCGTCCTGGCTTCAGAACCAGAAGAGTTTTGCCATGGGAGGTAGCTGGAGCTTCCGATCTGACTTGTCCACTACGGGGCTGATTTGGAAGTTGAGTGGAAAAAGGTTGTTGCATACTCTTAGCTAATCCAACCATCTCATTTGCCCTAGCTGTGGCTTTTGGTTGCTTAGATTTATCAGCAGAACTGGAAACCTGGAAACAATTACTTCCCATTAACATGGATATCAACTATCCATCAAGCACAAACCTTTGAACATAAATTCTATATCCAAATACTAGAGGAAGATACAACTACAATGGAAAATAAACAGATTCTTCAACATATAGATGGATTCCAGCCTTTTTCCTTTCAAGTAGACATAATGCTGTCTTTTCTACATATAGATGCATAAAAGCTACAATACTGTAAGAAAGAAAAAGCTAAAATGTAGCTACCAATTTGGCTCCTTGAGTGCCAGTGAACAAGCAATTTGTGGAAAAAGCGGTAAACAGTGCATCAGAAATAATACCCTTCACAGTAACAAGTGCTACAGAACCGCTAGGACCCAAGTACAGATGAATGATTATGCCAGAGAAGGAACCATTATGGTACTTTGCAATGACAAAAAACATACATACAGCAGGAAAATTGAACCATTGGCCAAGAGGTTCACGGAGAAACATCATCACTGCATTAAACTCCAAACAATTATATACGTTTTTTAGTTGCTTCTTTTGTTTTCCACATGAAATAATACTCGCATAAGTTATGCTGGAATGTACTTATTATTTTATGCAGGGGAGAATATAGAATAAGAATACAGGTAAAGTAATACATGGATTGAACAAAATTTGACAAAAAGCTCCTCACTCTTTAGATTTAATTTGTCTTTTCCTTGAACATACTAATCCATACATTGTTAATCCATGCATAACTTGTCTTCAAACCAAACGACCCCTTAGTGCGTTAAGCTTTAGAGGAGAGAAGGTACAATAATATGTAACAGTAATTAGCTGAAGATCTGATTCCTTTATGTTTGTTCTCTAATATTGCTTTTCCAGTGAGATAGAACTAGGAAAGCACACTAGCTCCCAACAAAAGCACACACTCGCGTCACAAGTCACAAGCTCCTCTAACCAAGTTTTACATATTCATGGTTATACACTCCCTGAGAGGGTGGGGAGGCAAAAGGCTGGGACAGGATAATGTCACATGAACAGGTCAAACATAATCAAGTAACCATTTAAATTCTAGTACTACTATCTTTTGCAAGTGCCAAAGAACTATTAAAGAGACTAAATAATTCACCTGACCAATGAATGTGATCAACCACAAGGTTATGACATTACATAGGGAAAATAAAAGTTCAAGTGCCATAATTTACACGCAAATTCCAAGTTTTATTAAACATAATACATGATCATTCACTATAAAACATTGGTTGTCCCCAAGATGAATTAGCAGCATTCCCCGGTTAATCAATCCCTCAAAAGTTTCCCCTACTGAGCTTCCAGTAATTTTGCATTCTAGTTTGTTTATTTGACAACTGTAGTTCATCTTTTATTGACCATTTTCCTTTGGATAGTTGCTCGGACTCTTCACTTTCGGTGCCGCACCCATGTCGACACGACGTGGGTGCGGCTGTAGGATCCGTACCGGATTTGGTCAACCGATTTTGGATACTTTGACCAAACTCGACGGAGAAATCCAGGAAAGATACAATGATTTTTTAAATCAAAATAAAAGTTAGAGTAAAATTGAAGAAATGGAATACCTTGTATTAGAGATTTCTATGTTAGTCCTTTTTCTTTTATCTCCTTCTCGGGTTCTCCTTTTGATCAATATTTTCTCCTTCTCGGAACACCTTATAAGTTTCCGAAATAATGTCTCATAATTTAGACATATTTTTATAACTCCACCTTTAGATGTTTGAATTATTTTTAGCCGAATCCCAGCACCCATACATCGATCATACCCCCGAATCTTAGAATTTAGATCATGAGGGATCCGACCTCTAGATCTGCACCGTATCGGACACCCGCACCCAAGTCCAAGCAACTTAGTTAAGCTAGGTATCTTGCTTCACCAGCTAACTTGCTCCAACACGACAATTTAGGTGCCTCACCCCTGTCGGCACGACATTGGTATGGGTGTGGGTGTGGGTATGGGATCCGTACCGAATCTGGTCAAACAATTTTGGGTACTTTGACCATGATGGACGAAATCCGAGACGAGATACAATTTGATTCTCAAAATCAGACCCAAAACTAGGGTAAATTTGGAGAAATAGCTTACCTTGTCTCGGAAATCAATCTTTTTCTTATCTATAACTTGAGAACAAGAAAGAAAATCACACTTTACAAGCTATATGTGAGTATTCCACAAAAAATATCATAATTTAGAGATATTTTTTGAATTACTTGCCGGAAACCCCGCACCCGTATCCATACTAGGATCCTTACCCCAAAATCTTAGAATTTACATCTCGAAGGATCCGACCCTAGATCCGCACCCGTGTCCGAGCAACTTATTTCACCAATATAATCGTCTACATATACAAGCAACATCAGCAGGTGGATAAAACAAAAGGCAATCATAGACATGATTCTACTCAACCAATACAATAATGTGTGGATCAAATACAATTGAAGGCAAAGTACAAGTAATAAAGACATTAACAATTGATTCTCACTTCAATCAAGATTTTAAAAAGCTTCAAAGAAAAATTAAAGAAAGACAAAGGTCTATAGAGCAAGATAATGAATCACTGATGAGGGCATCATCTAGATCATAAAGGGAAAAATAGGTCTACAGAGCAAGATAGTGTCGATAGTGAGACACTAATTAGAGGATTATCCAAATCATGAAGCGCAACATTGTTTGGAAGTTAAGTAGAATTCAGATATTAAGAGGATGCAAGTCCTTGACAACAAGAATGGGAAAAAAGAACCCTCACACTTGTATCAAGGCATGTATTTGAACTATAGTTGTCACACAACTCCACACTTCCAATGATTCTTATTAATTACACAACTAATCATGGTTTATATCAATTTGTACAATGAAATTCCCACAATTTTTATTTATTATATCAGGGTGTAACCACATCCTACAATCTTCTAAAGCTAGTGCATTGAAGATAAGCTCTTGTATGTGTTACCAGGAAATCTTGAATAGCTTAATGTTTCCTTGTATCTTGCAAAGCTACATAGCCAACTGGGTTTCAAACCCGCTACATGCACTCAAGCAGCTCAAGGCGTAAGACAATGTACAGGTCAAGATATTATGAACATGGAAAATGGCATATGTCAACAATGCGTGAACACCACACAACCGCCCAGCACAAATAAATAGCCTCTTTATATATTTGTGAATAATAAAATGGTTAATAGTCCATCAGGACATATCAAAGACCTACAACCAGCACAAGTTAGTTGCACTTCTATTCACAAAGACCTGCAGAAACCTGGCTATCACATTCATATTCGAAGCTTCCTGTGTCTTAATATATTCTATAATAACTTAGACTGCTACAAAAGAGTATTAGCATTCAATCCATAAGTGACAAAAAGAAAAGTTCAATAGAGCTAAATCAATGACCAACTGCAAAATGATAAAAACCAGAAATGACTATGGAATTCTCAATTGTATCATGAATGTACTCCCCCACCAATTCTTTCTATAGCTGCATACAAACAAACCCAGTAATGATAACCCCTATAGGTGAAGTCATAATGAAAAAATAAGTCCCGGTCAAATGCATTATTAAAGTATATGAACATTGTGTGCATATAACGATGTCGTACCAAGGCTTTAGGCGTCGAAGGTATCACAGGTATCAACTGTCTGGATTGCTTTATAGCCAATTCCTCCAGCCTCTGTGTCTTATCAGGGATCTACAATTGTGCAAAACATACACAAATGAAAACCTCTTCCAAAATTATCAAAATAAGTAATAACTGGCAATTAAAAATAAATTACCTGGGTGGTGGCACGGGCACGTGGTGGTGCTTGTGACAATGCTTCAGCCATGTTAAGACTAGCCATCCCACTCGAAGCACTAGTTGTTGGAGCTGCAGCAATACTTTGTTGAGAAGCTGAGCTCCCCATACTGATGCTGCCAATTATAGGAGGCACCTCTGCCAATGCGGAGGTCCATTTATCAGCACCAAGCAAAGCTGAGTTTCCAATTGGCAGACTCTGAACTGCTGAGCTCAACCCAGGAGATGAAACTCTGGTGACTTGCCTCTCTTCAATCCCAAGAGAAGGGAAGTCTTTCTCAAATGCCGCCTTCTGGCTACCATTAAAACTACTTCCCCCGGAATGAATACCATTACCACTGTTATGGGTGCTACTAATACCACCTTTCAAGTCCTCAGTCCTACGGGGCAAGAACTCGCCAGGTTTCCTGGACACCAGTGACTGAGAGCGCCTCAAGCTGTTCTCAACTCTACCAGCTAAAATATTCCCCAGAGGATCAGATGAGTCATGATCCCACAGATCAACAGTACCTGATCTTTCTTTCTCTCTTTCACGATTTTTATCACGATGACTTCTATTAAAGCTACTGTACGGATGCTTCGAACTAGTACCACTAGAACTACGCCTAGAATTCGACGATGAACTGCGATCCAGAAACACAGAACGTGGGCTATCTTTGTCACTAACACTCCTAGGAGATCTATTGCGAGAAGACAACGTGGATAAAGTAACATCTGCAGCAAAAGTAACACAAATGTGCAAAAATGTCATACTTAAAGTAATTAACAAAACTAACTACTACCATTCAGCTTCATTTAAACAAGCGCTTATAGTTAATTAAGACTGAAAACAATTCAAAGCAGCTGACAGTTAATTACCTGAATGCAAAGAAGAGGATGCAAAGTGGGGACTTGAAGAGCCACCACCCCCAGTAACACTTCCAGTACTTCTCAACCATTCTGGAACTAATGCTGGTTCACTCCTTTCCATGGGCGCCGTAGAACATGATCAGATTACTCTACAACAAGACTTTATTAAAACTCACTTTTTCTCCTTTCTGAACCCAATATGTCCAGAACTTTTACCCTGCCTATCCAACCATTTGCATAAACAACCACATCACATTAGTCTATCTAAAATTCCCCAAAAGAAATCAACCATGCACTTTTGCTTTCCACTTTATATTTGAGGCAAATTTACCTCTCTATCACAATCCTTCCTTTGGCTTACTAATTCGAAGCCAACCCAATAAACACCAATAAAGGGTTTTCCAATCTTAATACCCCACGTAATTTTCCAAAACGAAATGAACAAAATTCAAGTACCTATAAATCAAATTTCTTCTGTTACTCCATCTCTTTTACCAAAAGAAGATGGATTATCAAACAATTTGAGCAATTATCAGACTATCATTGCAATTACAGAAGAAATACCCCTTTTTCGGTTCCACGACAAGATTTCAACGAGTAATGAACCAAACAGAACCTAAAACTCACCGACCCACCATGCCAAATGGGGAGTTAAATTCACAAATTCACAAACCCTAGACCCGCAACAACTTACCCCAACAAAACCTAGGGTTTCTACACCACCAACCCAGATATTACACAGCAAAAATCACCCACATAATCAAAAATTAGAACATTAACAAACTGATTGTTACCGATTATGAGAAAAATAAAAGCAGCGAGCGATTAAGAACCCAATAAGATCCTCAACAAAACCCTAACCGCTCTAAAATAACGCCAAAACCAAAACTCTTAATATACGACGAAATATATTTCCGTTTTGGCCTGGGGGTGGGGATTGGGTGAATACCAAATTCTTGACAATAGATGTTAAATTGTTTGTTCTCAATATGTAATAAGCGCAGTATTAAACGAATGGCGTGAGACACAGAGAGAGAGAGGCGAAAGAGAGAGAGAGAGAGAGAGAGAGAGCAGCGAGAGTGGGTTCAAGAAGAGAGACTAGGGCAAAAAACAATAAGGGGACTGTGGTTATGGTAATATGTGTGTGTATATTAGGGTAGAGATATAGATTATAGTGTTTGTGCGTGTGTGTGTACACACAAGATTGGGAAGGAGAGGGTTAGGGGAAACTGAAAAGGCTATTAAAATGAAAAATAATTTTTTTTATATTTTGTGTTTGTGTTACTGATAAATCAAAATGGTTACTGTTGTTAGGTAATGAATCTCTTTTTGCCAGCCCATTATCTTATGTGTGCTTGTTTATAGGTGTTATTATACCATATGCATTGATGTTTGTACATTTGTATTGTTATCTAAGAGTATGAGACAGTGTTAGTCCCCAATAATAATCAATTAAGGGGGATTAGTTAAACTTCCTTTGAAGTTTAGCTTAGTTATGACATAACCGCAAATTAGGCTTGATGCTCAAGCATTATTATTATTATTATTATTATTATTATTATTATTATTATTATTATTATTATTTTATGTAAAGAAAAAGAATAATTTGGCTCTGTCAGAAGAAGGATTCAAACTATGAATGCAAAAAAAAACTTGTCAATTGCAAAGGTTTCTAATTTATCAACATTTTACATCGATTTCTCTCTTTTCCTTTTACTACCATTATTTTATTTTATTTTTGTCAAGAGGGTGAAATCTAGTCAACTGTAAAGGTTAAGAGAAAGGCAAATGAAAAAATAAAAGTCGGTTCTTACATTAAAAGAGTGTTTTGATAAATTTAGAGTATATTTTAACTTAAGATGTGCAAAGTAAGAGCGTTAGTGGTTGAATTATCTTTTGAAAAGTATTTATATTTTTTATCTTGACAAAATGTCAATAGACCGATAGAGGTGGAAAGTTTTCTTTAAAAAAAAGTTTAAAATGTTAACTAATTGGCTCATGTTTAGCTTAAAGCATATATATTTCTATGTATATTGCCTCATATTTTACTTTTGTTTCATGAATTTGGGATGGTAAATGTGATGATTTATATTAATTTGAAGTGATTTTATGTGTAGGAATGATTCGGGAGCAATTGGGGGCCAAACGTGCAAAATTAGAGCCAAAACAAACGAAATCGGGAAACTTGTGAATTCCACAGGTGGCGCCCAGCCCTACAGGTGGCGCCAAAAACAGTAGCTAAAAATATTGGAGCGTCGTGGAGGGCGCCTGGCGCTAGCCAGGGCGCCGGTGACGTGAATTTTCTCCAATTTCGCCCGGGACAAGGTTATTTCGGCCCTAGACCTACCCAACACGTATAAAAGCAAGACTAAACCTATTTTGGAGGGGAGAGACGCCACTTTGGAGGAAAAAGACGCACGAGAAACATCCGGGAGCAAGAACATCTCAGATTTCTTCATCTTTTCTAGTATTTTCAATTATTCTAAACTTATGCAATTGTTTGCTAGTATCATGAGTGGCTAAACAGTCATTGTTCTAGGGTTGTGATTTAGCCATGAATATTGTTGTTTAACATTGACTTAACCTCGATTATAATTCACTAATATATGGTTGTTTCTTCAATTCTGTGATTAATCGCTTAATTGTCTGGCCAGCATTTAGGTATTATTTACTATCTATGCTATGCTTGGGAAAGCCGTGTTTAGATTAGAGAAGAATTGAAGAGAGCATGATCTTAACCCTTAGGGGGAGCGGATTTGTGGTTAGGATAGGAATATACCTAGTCACCGTGCTTAATTAAATATCGTAACTTAATGCGTTCTTAATAGATTGATTTCATAGGAATATAGGCATTAATCTATTTTGAATAGGCGAGTAGTACTTCGGGAGAAGGCTATGAGAGCAATTATCAATTAATTAGCAACCATGAGTGAATTGTATGAGAGGAAGAGTTAACTAGAACACAATAGGATTGGTGAATTGATCACAACCCTGGAATACTTGTCTTTATTGAATACATAACAATCATTCTACTGCTTGATAATTTAGCTATTACTTAGAATTGTAGTATAGTATAATTAAACTTTTGAACTCGAATTTAGCTCGACGGAATAAAAATATTGGTGAGTTAGTGAGTAGTTAATATAAGTCTCTGTGGGTTCGACACTCGACTTATCATTTTATTACTTGTACGACCACGTATACTTGCGTGTGCGTTTGGGAGCAACAAGTTTTTGGCGCCGTTGCTGGGGACTTAAAAATTAGCTACTTTGCTGACTTAAGCTTTTATTAGTTATTTGTTCAAGTTTTAATTTCAGTCTACCTTGTTTGTGTTAACACAGGCTCTTCTCTTGAATGTGGAGGAGTAGAAGCACAAACAATCTCCTTCCTCTTGATCCTGAAATTGAACGAACGCTTCACAGAGTGAGGAGGGAAGTCGAAGCAAGAACTAGAATAGAAAGAGAGTTGGACATCGTAGTTCAACCATAGCCAATAGAGATGGCAGGTAATGCAGAGCGTGCGGTGATAGAAGCCGCAAGGCCCAATCTTGCTAATATGACTCAGGCGATTGTGAAGCCTGAGATCACTGGGCATTTTGAACTCAAAAAGTACATGGTACAGCAGATTCAGTCCATAGGGCAATATGTGGGTCTATCTCATGAAGATCCGCAGAGGCACATTCAGAATTTTTTGGAAATTACGGACACCTGCAATTATCCGAACGTTTCCAAGGACTATGTCAGGCTGACACTTTTTCCCTTTTCACTGCTGGGGGAAGCTAAGGAATGATTACAGAAAGAGCCCGCGAACTCAATCCACACTTGGGTTGATCTAGCAAGGAAATTCTTAATCAAGTTTTTCCCCACCAAGAAGACAAAGTCATTGAGGAGTCAGATTCTTGGGTTCGAACAACGGGATGGCGAGACACTTCGTCAAGCCTGGGAAAGATACAAGAAGCTACTCAGAGATTGCCCGCACCATTGTCAGACTGATGAGGTATTGGGACACACATTTGTTGCCGGGCTAGATGAGGCCTTAAAGATGAATCTTGATTCAGCTTGTGGGGTTAGTTGCATGGCGAAACCATATAGTGAAATCCAACTCTTGCTGAATAACTTCACTGCTAATGATCATAACTGGCAAGGAGATGGGGATTCACGCAAGGCAAGTAAACAGAAGGCAGCCGGGTTGATTGAGCTTGATGACTTCTTGGCCATGAGAGCTGATATAGCAAAATTGGCAAACCAGGTGAATAGAATGACAATGCAACAGACACAACAGATGCAACATGTACAACAGATGTCTCTTTACTGCGAACTATGTGGTGACAATCATATGAGTGACATGTGCCCCACGAATCCAGAATCTATATACTATGTGGGACAACAGAGCAGGGGTCCAATGAATCAGAATGCACAATATGGGAACGTTTATAACCCAATTTAGAAGAATTATCCCAACTTCTCATAGGGTGGAAATCAGCCGAATCAGAATCATTATAGACCCCAAGGAAATTTCAATCAACCTCAGAAGCCACCTCAATAGGTAGAAGATAATGGGAATGATTTGTTGAAGCAGTTGTTGCTTGACAATCAACAGCTCAGGACCGATTTCAGAAATTTGGAGCGCTAAATGGGACAGCCTGCCAGTGCTCAAAACACTAGACCAGTTGGGGCTCTTCCTAGTGATACTGAGCCTAATCCTAAAGCTCAAGTCAATGCGGTTACCTTGAGAAATGGAAGAGCATTAGAAGAAGTTCCAAAGAAAAAGAAGAATACAACTCATCCTGAAGGAGAATTAGTTCCCAAGCTAGTTGAGGGGAATGAGAAAGATGATAAAGGACCCGAGCCAGTAATTGAGATAAGGCCACCACCTCCGTTTCCACAAAGACTGCAGAAGCAAAAAGATGATGCTAAGTACAAGAAATTCCTAGATATTTTGAGCCAAGTGAGTGTGAATTTGCCTTTGGTGGAAATTTTGCAGGAAGTGCCTAAGTATGCAAGGTATCTCAGAGCTATTGTGGCAAACAAACGAAGACATGCAGAGTTCGAAACAGTTGCACTTACTGAAGAGTGCAGTGCCAGAGGTCAGAGTAAACTTCGTCCTAAGTTGAAGGGTCCTGAGAGTTTCACAATTCCTTTGTCTCTTGGAAAACAAGAAGTTGGTAGAGCCCTGTGTGATTTGGGGACTAGTATAAATTTGATGCCATCCTCTTTGTTCAAGCAACTCGGATTAGGGGTGCTTAGACCTACTACAATCACTTTACAGTTAGCAGATAGGTCACTAGTCATGCCAGAAGGAATTATTGAGGATGTGTTAGTTCGAGTGGAAAAGTTTATTCTTCCTACTGATTTTATTGTTCTTGATTACGAGGCAGAGGAGGAAGTGCCCGTTATTTTGGGGCGACCATTCTTAGCTACTGGTGGAGCAATTATTGATGTGAGGGCAGGGAAGTTAAAAATGAGAGTTGACGATGAGGAGGTCACTTTTAATGTGTACAAGGCACTTAAGCTCCCTAAGCATTATGAGGACTTGTGCATGATTACTGTGGTCGAATTGAAGGGAATAGAGCAGAGTCAGTATGTGAATTATAGTGATCTAGATGGGACAACTGAGTTAGAGGAGGTGGTGTTTCAAGCTGAGTGTGTAAAGACGATTGCGAAAAGAGCCAGAGATGAAAGAAGGAGACCTTCCGAGAGTGTGCAAAAAGGCTAGACTTCATGGGAGAAAGAAGAAGAGAAAGCGCCGAGCCTGAGCAGAGTAGCAGAGTCGTGCCACGACTATAAATAAGGCGCTTGTTGGGAGGCAACCCAACCTGTATACCTTGGATTTATTAATTTTTTTTGTGCCAAGTTTTGTGTTGTTTTTATTTTGCAGAGTAGGGGAAGTCTGAGTACCCGAAGTTGAAGCTGGGGAGCATGTTTGAGCTTAAGTGTGGGGTCGTCCCGACCCTTAATATTGAGGATCATGTCCGAGCTAGGCCGGAGAGGGTCTCAAGGAGTACTTCTCACCCTTGTTTTAATATTTTTTTTCTATGATCATGCATCGAGGACTATGCATAATATAAGTGTGGGATAGAGAAACTACTTTCTGAAGTGTAATTGTATAAAACTATTTTTTTAATTTAGTTTTTCTTTTAGAACTCGTAGTAGACATAGTCTATGTTTTAAAAAAAATGAAAATTGAAAAAGTTTTGACTTTTCCCGACAATGGATCTTTTGGACAATTTTCTTGAGGGATAAAGTCCAATTAAAAATACCAAAAAGATTTTTTTTTAGAATAGCTAGGTAGTATTCCTTGGTTTTTCTTTGGGCACCGGTTCTTTTCCAAGGATGTAGCTCGAACCGGACACTTTATTTTTTTTTAGGAGTAGTTTAGGAAGAATCTGAGTCGCTCTGAGATATTCATTGACATGGTTGATGCTGGCACATTAAGCTATGACATACATTCTGTTTTCCCGTATATTTGGTTTGAATTGTGAAGCCTAAGTAAAGTAAATAGCCTATTTTGTGACGCCTTTTCTCAGTTGTTTGACTTGTATGCCACATAGTGCAATATTGCTTAAATTTCTCAATTATGTGTGCTTGCTTGACTTGAGACTTGAACAGAACCGTCTTGATTGAGTCATGTGCAACGTGTTTGCGAGGATTTGTGATTTTCTGTGCTATCCTGTGTAGTCTAAAACTTGCCCCGTGTGTTAATTGAAGCGAAATTGTAAGTTGTGCTAATATAGGAGATGACGTAGGCATTTTCTTGCTTGATCATGGATGTGCTTGTCATAAGAAAATAAAATTTTCCGTTGCTAGCCCCTTTGAGCCTATAGACCTTTCTTTTGGCACCCACATTACAAGCCATACTCCTATTTTGCTCTTAATTGGATATTGATTTAACCTTTACCTCCTAAGACACTTAGTCACTAAAAGAAGTAAGGTTAGAGATTGGGGAGTAGCTTTTGAGTGGAACCATGGAAGGGCCCGTTGGTGCACTAAAGTTGAAATCAAAGGTCACTAACCGATGAACTTTAATGTATGGAGTGTGTGAAGAAAAGAAAAAAAAAGAGAAAGAGAAAGGAAAATTGAAAGAAAAGAAAAAAAATGATAGTGAAAGTATGTAGAAAAATACACACCTCCAATTCTTAATGATTTGTGCTAGTGGAATTATAGAAGTGCTTAATTGAAAAGAGGGCTATGTTGTATATGGCAAGTGAATTGGTTGAGAAGAATATGTGCTTGAATTATAAATGTAGTGTATTAAAGTGCTTAGGAGGGTTAGTCACTATTTTGTAAATGTATCATACCCGTCCCTTAGCCTACATTACAACCTTAAAGTCCTAATTGATCCTAGATCTGGCTAGCTTAAATTAGTGGAGATATACACTACGGGCAAGCTTATGGTACGACCACGGGATGCATATGAACTCTTTGTAGGAGTGAGCGAATTTTGTTCAATTGTGTGATGTCCTTAATTTATATTCAAAAGCACATTTGAATGTGTGGACTAGTATATTTTCACTCTTTCGTTTGTTGGTAAGGGCACATGATCTCATGAATGATTGGTGATGTCGTAAACTTTCTTGTTGGGTAAGTGCATGAGTTGAGGGTGCTTAGTGGTTGCAAGTTGGCTCTTGAGGTTGGGTGGTGACAAATAGGTTGTTGGAATTAATTGAATTGAAATATTATACTTGGGCATGCTTAAACGGGAAGAATGTGAAATTTTATGTGTTCATGCTTGTGTGCCGGTATTGATCATAGTCAAGGGTATAGTATGTGGTTAAAAGTTAAGGTGCTCCTCTATAATTGAGACATGTACGTAGTTGGGGGTTTATTAGATAGTCCCATTGCTCGAGGACGAGCAAGATTTTAAGTGTAGGGTGTTGATGTTTAGCTTAAAGCATATATATTTCTATGTATATCGCCTCATATTTACTTTTGTTTCGTGAATTTGGGATGGTAAATGTGATGATTTATATTAATTTGAAGTTATTTTATGTGTAGGAATGATTCGGGAGTAATTGGGGGCAACACGCGCAAAATTAAAGCCAAAACGAACGAAATCGGGAAACTTACAAATTTGGGCGCCGCAGGTGGCACCCAGCCCTACCTGTGGCGCCAAAAATAGTAGCTAAAAATATTGGAGCGCCGTGGAGGGCGCCTGGCGCTAGCCAGGGCGCCGGTGACGTGAATTTTCTCCAGTTTCGCTCGGGACAAGGTTATTTCGGCCCTAGATCTACCCAACACGTATAAAAGCAAGACTAAACGTATTTTTGGAGGGGAGAGACGCCACTTTGGAGGAAAAAGACACACGAGAAACATCCGGGAGCAAGAACATCTCAGATTTCTTCATCTTTTCTAGTATTTTCAATTATTCTAAACTTATGCAATTGTTTGCTAGTATCATGAGTGGCTAAACACCCATTGTTCTGGGGTTGTGATTTAGCCATGAATATTGTTGTTTAACATTGACTTAACCTCGGTTATAATTCACTAATATATGGTTGTTTCTTCAATTCTGTGATTAATTGCTTAATTGTCTGGCCAGCATTTAGGTTCTATTTACTATCTATGCTATGTTTGGGAAAGCCGTGTTTAGATTAGAGAAGAATTGAAGACAGCATGATATTAACCCTTAGGGGGAGCGGATTTGTGGTTAGGATAGGAATATACCTAGTCACCGTGCTTAATTAAATATCGTAATCTTAATGCGTTCTTAATAGATTGATTTCATAGGAATATAGGCGTTAGTCTATTTTGAATAGGCGAATAGTACTTCGGGAGAAGGCTATGAGAGCAATTATTGATTAATTAGCAACCATGAGTGAATTGTATGAGAGAAAGAGTTAATTAGAACACAATAGGATTGGTGAATTGATCACAACCCTGGAATACTTGTCTCTATTGAATACATAATAATCATTCTACTGCTTGATAATTTAGCTATTACTTAGAATTGTAGTATAGTATAATTAAACTTTTGAACTCGACTTTAGCTTGACGGAATAACTGTGAGCGTTACTGTGTTAAACCAAAAATCAGAAAAAAACTGTTAGGAGAATTAAAGAAATCTGGAAAATAGTAGAGAATCAGAAATATTCCGAGTCCACAAGTTTCTTGTGTGTCCTTAAGGAATTTTAACCCCCTCACACGTTGCCAAGGTAATGGATTAAATCCTCCCAGGATAAAACGGAATAAACCTTCCTGCAACATTGGCAATACAAATTGCAGGATACCAACGAACGCAAAGAACGGAGCAAAATCACACTTACGAATTTGAGAGAGAAAGACTGCGAATTAGGATGCAGTATATTATGAAAGAAAGAAGTTCTGGAGTGTTTTTCGTGTGTAGAAAATGGAGCCTTGCCTCAGAATTTATAGGCAATTATCAGAAGAGGTGTCTGGAAAATGTGCCTTTTCAGAAGAATACGCTGCCTGCCGCGGTTCTACCGCGGTCGCGGCAGAACCGCGGTCAGAGAGGCTCTCTAAATCAGCCTGCCGCGGTTCTACTGCGGTCGCGGCAGAACCGCGGCCAGAGAGGCCCTCTGAACCTTCAGCAGAGTTCTGGCGTATTTTCAGCAGTGATTTGGCATTTAATTAATTATTAAATAATTAAATAAATTTTGTCCAAACATAATCTTATCGATCGATCATTTGACAAATCCAAATCCAAAGCCGAAGCCGAAGCCGAGCCGAGCGAGCGACGACGACGGCGCGAGGGTTCATTATCTTCAACTCCTTTTAAGAGCTTTAAGAAGTGATTCTATATATAAACACACAAATGTGGTTGTCCCTCACCAATGAGGGACAAAGTGCAAGACAAAAGTTCACTTCTTCAAATTTTCAATTTCCCTCCATTTTATTTCCCTCCATTTCCAATTCACACTTCTTCTACTTTAAAGCCCAATGGCTTAAAGTCCAACAATCCCCCACATGAATGGGAATGGCTGTATCAAGAAAGATCATAGATGAAAGCTATGTGATTTTGCAAGTAAGGATTAATTGCATCTGGATAAGTAGGTTTCCCTTTGAACTTTCCGCAGTGAACATATGTCGGATATACTCGGTCAATCGGTAGATTTGATATCTTTGAACCGTCGAACTTTAGTGTATACCTAGACAACCATATGTCACACAACCAACCCTTAACCGTCTTTTGGTTCTCATTGTTGTGTTCGTTTTAGCCATGAACACCGCCTGGTTTCATAAGTGCGTAGAGAATTGGCCTTACAAAATTCTCATTGAAGCGGCTTCCACTTCACACTTACATAGGTGATTCCTAAACGTGTAATCCTTTAGATTGACACTATTTGATAAATACCGCATCAAACTTAGGTAATCATTAAAGAACGTGTAAAGTTCTATCCTTGTTACTGAACATTGTCTTCATCACGAGAATGGACCAAAGATTTTATTTTGACAATGTTGAACCGGTCAATCACAACTTTGTTTGAGCTCCTTGAACCTAGATCTCGGAACATCCAAAATTCTAGGTAGAGTTACCGCCATGTTGACTTGTCCTCGGCCATAGTCCCATTCTCTTAGATGATTTCTCAACTCCCTCTCTAGTTAAGCCTTTTGTAAGCGGATCCGCCACATTATCCTTTGATCTTACATAATCAATAGTGATAATTCTACTAGAAAGTAGTTGTCTAACGGTGTTATGTCTTCGTCGTATATGACGAGACTTTCCGTTATACATAACGCTCCCTGCCCGTCCTATTG